AAATTAAACTTGCATTTGACTTTTACTTCCATAATATTATTTTATGGAGAACTTAAGAGTAAGATGAAAAGGCTTTAACACTCTTAAGCAGTTCCTCTTTTCTGTAGTCAATTTGCTCCATTCAACAATATTCTTTCTTTGCATCCACCTCACTTAACAGAGGTCAAGTAAAGAAAGAAATGCAGAAATAATTGAAAAGCACTCCACTGAGGAATAACAAGTGAATTTCTCTTTTTTTGCCTTGTAGACAAGACAGAGATAAGCAATTATTTGCTAGAGCTAGGAATCAACACCTAGCATTAAGGAAAGAAATCACATGTTTTCTTTGAGTGTCCCACCTGCCATGCTTCTACTATCTCTAGGCAATAGCGAAGAGAAGAAAACTTAGCGAAGTTGTGTTCTTGTGTTCCACCATCCAGGCACAGTGGTGAAGGCTTGATATTTTTTTTTTTTTAATTTTTTTTTTTTTTTTTTGGCAGCAGCTGACAGCCTTTCCCCTTTGCTTCTACTCTGTTTGTACCTGCTAGTCACAAAATCTAAAAATGCAGCTGTGGCTTGTCTTTATTACCTGCTGATTATTGTTAGCTTGCCTCTGTTGTATTTGTGATGAGGTACCTGCCACCATTGGTCCAGGGGTGACTGAGGTAAGATGAGCTGAAATTTTTTGCTTTCTCTGCCAGAGAAAGTCAGCACGCATTCAGCAGGTAGTCTTGTTTGAAAATACTTGTTAGCTGAAATAACAAATTTTTTGTGTTCAACGGTGTTTTTGTAAGAATTTCTGGTCATGGAGAGATAGGGAGAGAGAATACATGGACTATAAATTTCTCCAGAGATGTTAGAGAAATGCTTAATGATTCAGATGAAGCTAAATGTCATAAATCCCTCCTGGTGTTGCCAAGTAGCAGATGCTCAGCAAAGGCAAGAGGGCATGCCAGCCTTTCCCTCAAATACCTTCCTTCTTTCAGGCAAGCTGTTGCTTTGGGCCTTCCTGAGGCAGAAGTTGTTTCTGGGTCACTGTGTTCAAAAACCACTGATGAACTGATTCTTTCTCAACTTGTCCAAATTTTCTTTAAAATCATTTACAGGAAGTATTTTGTATATATTTTCTGTTTATGAAGCTATAAAAATAATAGTCCTGGTCTGGAGAGGTGTTGAAGCCCAATGTTACTTAGACCTAGGGGATAATTTTGTTAATGTCAGCTGGGATTATCGGCATGCTCAGTATTTGGAAGATAATTAAATCAGTTGCTGAGTCAGAAGCACTGTGTTATTTTTATCCACTGTACTTGAGACAAATGAAGGATATGTTTATAGCAACGTTACCCCAAATACTGCCAATAGGGATCTCTTTAAGAAAAGCACTTAATGCTGTGTATTTACACTTCTGTATTCCCAAACACAGCATAAGAAGTCATCTAGGCAAGACTCAGGTTCTTTCTTGTTCTAAATACTTAAATCCAGCACCTGTATCAATGACTCGTAGCTCTGCTATCCAGAAGACAATGTATTTCAATGTGTTTCTTTACAAGTATTATTCAGGGGAGATTATAGTGCTTCTCTTGTACAGTTATACCTTCAGTGATGATATTGTATAAGGAAAAGAAGTCATTATTCCTGCCTCTTTATTTTTCAGCTATGTAGAGCTTTTGAGTTCCTCTGGGAGTCTGTTTTTCACTCCAATGGGTTTGTTATTGAAAGCCAGTAATTCCCTTTTTTTTTTTTTTAAAAAAAAAAAAAGTTACCTTCTACTACAGCATCTCATGCTGATCCTGTGTTAGGCTTGCCCAAGTGTGAAGCTAGAAGGACTTATAGTAGTGTTTCTCTTGGCTAACACAGGTATAAGAGAAAGGAATTTGGCTCATGCTATCTTAAGTGGGGGAGACTTTCCTTGAAATAAATACAGCACTTCCATGACCAGTGTGTCTCAGTTGTGATGGACCGAGTTTTCCAACATTGGATGGAGCAACGGTCTGTGGACCTTGGACCATGGCCTCTGTGAGCTGCCCCTACCAGCTGCTTCAGTGGGAAATGGCAGGGGCCCTATGGGTGGCGCTGACTGAATAAACAGCTTTAGGGGAAGAGCCTCTCTGACAGCTGGAGATTGGCTCTGCACTGAGATGTGAGGATTTACTCCTCCTATACTTAACAGTATGTTTAATTTGCTCAAATGTTGCTGTCTTTGTGGCTGTTCATACATCTTAATTGTCATCTGTAATTGTGGGCTTTATAGGTTAACAGTTGCTTTATAGGTGCAACAGGTTTTAAATATACTGCCTTTTTCAGTCTCAACTGATGGCCTCTCATTTGCTACTCAATGTTCTTTTTTTTAAAAAAAAAGGTAGCAAAACCAGACAGGTCTCATTAAACATCATTTTAAAATGAGAATTCCAATCTCCTACCATGTCAATATCTTCCTTTGTGAAGTCAAAGGCTAAGATGCAATATTGGCATTACTTTCCAAGCATTTTGTGTGTCCCTGCTGTAAAGATCTAGGTACTAAGCTAGTCTCCAAGTATTTTAAGCGCATTAATAGATGTAAAATCAATTGATGGTGACTGTCCAGACCACAACAAGCCCTTAACGAATCATCCTTTTCTAAGTAGTGTATGTATGTGGTGATTTCCTAAAAACAGAGAGTGCTTGCAACATATCCTGTAGGTCATTAAACATTCCTAGACCTAAAATGAGCATCTGGAGGGACAAAAAAAAAGTGCTTGCTCTGGAGCTCCTTCTTGGGAAGTGGACAAATCTGGGGTGCTTTTTTTAATGCTTATTGGAGACATCTGTGTTCCTATTCCTACAAGAGAGAAGAAATTCCTTAGTTATCCCAAACCAAAAACATTAAAGTCTTTGCAAGTTGAAAGTAACCACCTCTGACTAAGTGCCTTCAGTAGGTTTTTCAGAGCCTGGTCATACTGCACTTCCTTTTCCTACTCCTCTTTTATGTCATTCTCTCAACTTTTACTGCTCTTCAGTCTGAGCCCAGTTCATCGTCCTACTACAGTTTGTACCACTCTTTGCCATAGTCAAAAGGTACGACAGGGCAGTAGGTACAACCTGTCGCAGTAAAATACAGCCATCACAAAGCATGTCTTTGGGTAGGTGAACTCTTCTCCAGGCTCCTCCTGCTTTCTTTGTTGTCTTCCTGGGCCCTAAGCAGGTTGGCTTTGTATATATGTGGCATACTTGTATGTAGTTAATAAGTTATTGGGACCCACCGATGTCCAAGGAGTATTCTCATAACTTTAGATATTGTATGTAGGAAAAAATGCCCTTGTTGCTGTTTTGATCTGCAAACAGTGACATAGACAGGAACAGAGAGTACCAGCTCCTCACACTGAAGAGTTCTTGCCTTGGGTCTATACTAACAAGAATGGAGCACTTTTTATCTTTTTGAAAAACTGCTCCTCTGCCTGTCCATATGATAGTATGTGTGTGTGGTTTGTGGTGTGTTTTTTAGTTTTGTAGGGTTTTCCTTTTTCCTTGATGTTTAGGGAACTTGTTTAAAATTTCTGGTCATAGTTAAAAAAACAAACAACCAAAAAACTCTCCATTTGTGGCCTCTGAATTTAGGTGTGCCTTATTGCATGCCCTGGAGGCTGTCTGCATTGCACGGACCAGCACTAGGCAGATATATTCAAGCTAGAGCCAACTGACCCAACTCGGACACCAGAAGCAAGCAAACTGTGTCACTGGGTGCTCTGGCTGTGCTGATTAAACCTGTGGTGTGGTTCACCCCCTGCTACAACCACTTCCAGAATTCAAGTGAGATGTTCTGCCTGGTATCACTGTGGACAGTAAGGTTGATCCGATCTTGTGGAGCGGCTCAGGCCCCTCTGCCTGCTGCTGAGTTACGCAGCATACCTGTGCCTGTAGGGAACCAATTTTCATGGGGAATGTGTTTTCTTATCTTCTATATGCTGGCAAAGGTTCTGTGTAAGCAGAACTATGCATATTTTGTGGACCTTCTAGAGCTGGGAAAAAAACGGAGATGCTTGTGTGTGTGTGTATGAGAAGCAGTGCTTTATTGGTTTTAAAAACAGGTATTTTATTTCTTTGACTAATTCTAAGGGAAACTTGCTGTATTTCTGTCCCTGCTCACCCAGCCCTGAAATATACCCGATATGTGATAGTTTTCTTTAATTCCCTACCCTTACTGAGTGTTTCTCTACTAGTCCTGGACCTATGAAAACCCAAATGTAGAGCTTTATGTGAAACAGATCTAGCATAAAGGGTATAAAGTAACTGTTTAGCAAAAAGTACAGCAATTCAAATTCCTGTAGCATAACTAACACACTTAGTGTCAACATGACTGATGCCAATAACGTACAGCAAGAAGACAGACGCAGAGCTGAGAGATGCTGGCTGTTAAAAGCTGTGCTCCTGATGAGGAACACATGAGCGGCAAGCTGGTTAACTGCTGGTGCCTGCTCTCTCTGAAGCCTTTCTCTGTTCCTGGCCCTTCCTTCAGAGCTTGCGAGTCACTTCCCCTCTTCCCTGAAGAGAAGCTCTTTAGAAAATGGCATCCCAGGGTGCCGTGTTTATTGACTTTCAGGGACTTTCAGAACAAAATCATTCCGTGTACCTGCAGAGATGTTTTCCCCTAACTGCTGACTCCATAGATTCTCACTGGGCGTTGAAAGTCAAACTGTTTTTCTTCTGATTTAGGTCTTGTTGAGGATTCAAACCCTCAGGCCAAACTTTACTTTTGGATATGGTATGAATGCCTGCAGAGCGTGGCTCCCCTCTCTGCTGTGGCGCACATGGACTGCACAGCAGCAATATCTCCCCTCCAGTGTAGTTATTGACAGGGGCAAAAGGGGGTTTGCAGCCACCTCTTGCAACAAGGTGGAGTTTGACTTGACTGCTTGCAGCCATGATGATGGGCAAACAGGTAGGGAGGGCAATGTCACTCCCTCCCTGCCTTTTCAGCTTGCTTTGCCTATGCACAGTAAAACAGGGACTTACCCAGGAGGCAGTCTGTGGAGTTGAAAGGCTACATGCCGAGTATTCTCCTGGGACTGGATACTCCTGACATCCGTTCAAGTCCTCTGAAAATTGTGGTAAGTTATTTGGAGGGTTAGATGTGTTTGAGTCTCCAGAGGAAAAAAAGGGCCCCCAGGGGCATGCTCCGTTCAGTCCATAAACACTTAGTAAGTATCTCTGGAAAGTGCTTGATGCTCACTGCGTACCATCAGTTGTGAACTTGTATTGCTTCCATAGCAACCAGTGATGTTATCAACACAAGACTGACTTCACTTTGGGAGCAAGCAGATGTAGAAACTGCTGTGTGGTCTCTCTAACCCAAGACTGGGCCAGTAGTTTTGCCATCCCTCACCTGGTTCCTGTTCTGTAACGGGACTGGATTGAACCTGAGCAGTATGGTCTTGGCTAGGTTGTAGCTTATCTGTAGACCATACTGATGTATAGGCCAGCAGTCTGTTGGTTGTCTGTGTTTTGTTTCCTTTATACTTGTTTCAAACACTGACAGTGCTGAGGAGATTTTTGTGTAATAACCACCAAGAGAGTACCCCTCTGTAAGGGGAGAAAATAGAGAATTTGAGAGCATGTTTCCCTGGGAAAAGATAATTTATATGTTCTTTCCAGTACTCTCTGCAGTTAAATAGCTTCTCGGTCTGATTCACCAGTATATTAAAGCTGTTCTTTAGCACTCTGAAAGTACAAAATGGCTTTATAGTAGATCAAGTAATCACTGGAGAGTATCTCCTGGTGTTGGAGGATCTTATGCCTGGTTAGGTTGCCATGGTAGCTCCCATGCCATTCACTTTTCTAGGCTGTCAGCATCAGGAATGCACCCAGTGAAAGATCCAGTACCAGCTTAACTCCTTGGGATTTTCAGCATGTTCAGGGTTGTTCTGGGCCTGTCAGCTGCTCTGACTTTTAGTAGGGACAGATATAGAACTCAGCTAGACTCTATAATCAAAAACCTTGCTTAAAAGACACACATCCAGAAGATGTGAATTTTTTTTTTTTAACATTGAGTGTTCTGTGACTAAACTGGAGAATTGGGCTTTTTCAAATTCAATCTATAGGTTTTCATTTGAAATTGCAGTAACTAATCATTAAAAGTAAAATATCACCCCAGGTTTGAAAGCAATTTAGTTGTATGTATTTTCACTTCTCGGAGAGTGTGTGTGTGTTTATTTTTATATATAGAAGTATTAATTTTCATAATGACTGTACTAAGTCTGAGTGCAATTCTGGTGAGGAGGATTAAATTAGATTTGCAGGATTGAGCTCAGTACTGTATGGAAACAGAACCCAGGTGTTCCTCTTCATTTTGCTCTGTTCTAACATCATTGCTGCTTTTAACTATAAATTTTTAAACACATGGTATAGTTAATGTGAGTAACTTTCCTTATGTATAATGAGCTTGCATCATGCAAAGCAAATAAGGGTAACATGCAACAGGTTATGGCATGGCTGGGACCATTATAATACTGGAAGACTAAGGAGTCTGAATGTTAATGGCACTGTGTGTCTTGCATATAGTAAAAGGTCCTCCTGCTGTGGGGGAATTTTATTTTTTTCTTTAAGCAGCAGTGTAAAACAACCCTATTCCTACAGTTTAGCATTTTTCCCCTAGATGACAACGTTTCCCCCTCCCTCCTTGCCCTGACAAATCCAGGAGACTATCACTTAGAATATTGTTTATTAGTTTCTAGAATCAGTCAGTAACAGCATTCTTCTGCTCATAAAGTTCACTAAATGACTCCTTTTAGACAGAAAGGATCTTAAATTTTGACCAGGATGCATGACTGGAAAATGCTTTAGTAAATTAAACTCTGTGAGAAGCAGCAATGTTTTATTTTTAATGGAGAGAAAATTGTCCTGTAGATGCTTTTCTTCATGCCTTAATTTTGGGCTTTGCAATACTTTATTGGATATGACATTGAAGAAAAATCATACCTTTCACTTTCGCAGTGTTTTTAAATCAAAGGGTGAAGTTGGCATGTAAGCACCATAGCCATTATGGTCAGCTTCTCCGGGAGAGGTGACAGCGTATGGTCCTGTTGTTCTAATCCTTAATCCAAGGCACAGCCTTTTGCATGCTCTGCAGCGATCGCGTGGCACTCCTGGGACACGTAGCCAGGAATGGCTTCAGCTAGCAGGATCAGCGGCTGCGAGGGCTTTGAGTCAGGTTGTTCATTGGCTGCTGTAACCCCCAGGCCACTTATCTTCCCTCAAACACAAATGGCATTTGATTTGAAGCCTTTCTTTTAGGTCTGTTTGGTGGTGGTTTCGTTGTTTGGTTTTGTTTTTTTTTTTGTTTTTTCCCGTGCAAGACTTGAGACAAAAAGGTCTCAATGCTTTTGTTCATTTTAATATTAATTTGTATAGTTCTTATTTTATCTTACTCTGGTGGTAATATAGTCCCCAGACCAGTAAAACATCCAGCAAAAATATTTCTAACCTTTAGAAAACATTTAAATATTTCAAGAACACACAAGCTTTTCTGTTTCCAGGAGGAAGCTGGCCTTCATAAACAGTACCTAATGCTATTTCTCCCCATGCCTCCTACAAAGTAGGTCCTGAGCAAATGCTGTTCTGACTGGATGTGAAATCCCTTACTATATTTCAACTCTCTTCATTTATTGCTATAATACAAGTCTAGGTCTTACTGGGACCAACAGTTCCTTGGTATTTGGCATTTTTTTAGTGTGCTTGCTACTCATACAAGGACTGGCTGTTTCTTGTCCTTTTGAAGGCCCTCATCTCAGCTGTTCTTCTTCCACACACAGAGCCAGAAGTGAGAGTTGAGAGGACAAAAGATGGTGTTAAGCTGTCTTCTGGGGACAACTAGGAGTGTGCATGGCTCTTATTATATCAAAGAGCAATTTCAAAGCTGATTGCTGTTCTACTTTCTATGTGCCTGTGGGTCTTTGGAAGCAGATAAGTCATAGCGTAACATATTTAACCACAGTCCTCTACTTGTTCCCTTGGCACTCCTTTTCAACTTCCTATCTGTTTCCTGGTGGATAGGGAGGAGAAAAGCATTGTGGGGGAACTGTAGGAGAGTTGAGAATAGGGCCCAGTGTTATCTGTATCTCCAAAAGAGCAGCTGGACCATTTGATCCTGGATTTGTTTCTGGAGCTGCTGGACTGGTGTTCCTCAGACCTTTAATGGTACTCTGCAGCTCCAGCTGTGGCTCTAGCTCTGTAATGACGTCTGTCGTTCTCCTGGCAGAGTGTGGGGGGTTTTTTTGGTTTGGTTTTTTTTTTTTTTCCTCCTGGTTGGAGCAAACCCCAAGTTTTTTAAGTTCACAATAGAAGTCTTGGTTGTTTGAAACTTCAGATTTGAATGATGTTAAATCTGAAGAGTTCAACATCCAAGGATTACTGCCACCTGGTTTTGTCAGCTTGTGCTCTGATTTTTGAGGTCAAGTGTTTTTGTATGTAGACAAAACCAACATTTGTAGTTTTCCAGATGATGTTAAAACTTACTGTACCATGTCTTGGGGCAGTATCCAATTACAGTAAATATCACAGGGATGAAAGTGACTGATACAACCAGGCAGCTATGTTGCTTTAAAATGAGCGAATGGGCTAGCGTTCAACTCATCTGCCTCTTGGTAGTGAAATTATTCCAAAAGCTAACCAAACTGGGGAATGTTGTAAAATGAACTGAGGAAGGTTAGGGCAGCTAGTGGCTTATCAGAGCATCTCTGTTTGATTGTGGGCAGCTGGACCTGTTCAGACACTCTTTGTATATATTCTCTGATTTCACATCTCCATTTTGAGTGCCTCTATTTTTGGGTGCCAACAACGTGATATCCTACATGCCACTAAGTGAGGAGTGGTTTGCAGGTCCTGCTTGCTTCCAGGTGGGGTTTCAAGACTTCTCAAAGCATTGGGTCTGTGTCACCTCGGACTGGTTACCCAAGAAATGAGATGCTCAGTGTGATGTTTGGGCATGCTGGCAGAAATACCAACAAGGAATTGAAACTCCTGCCAGGGCAGAGGCCTGATGCAATATCTGTGTGCTTCTCATCTATGTCTGAAACTCAGGTTTTGAAGGCTTGGGTGTTTTATAGGTCTGAAAGTAGCATAAGAAGCCTGCTCAGGCCTAAAGATTTCTGAGGTGTAATCTCTAACAAGTTAGGAGGGATAGTTAAAGGCTGGCCTACTGGGTTCCCTTAATACGCTGTTCTTAAGTCCAAAATTGACTTTGTCATCATTTCACAGTTTAAATAACAAATTTTAATTTGTTAACTAGCAGCATGTTAATAAGATTTGTTTACACAAAAAAGAAAAACTAGTAGTTCTGGGTTGAGCTTTTTTTTTTTTTGAATGCATTGGATGGTACACGGATAGAATATTGTGGGTTTGGTTAGTCCTACAAGAAGTAATTTTCCAGTTATCTATGTATCCATACACTTATAGTTGGGAAAAAAGCCCTAAAACTAATAATTACCATCTCAAATATGGGTAGCAGGCAAGCATCCTAGGCTACTCCTCCAGTAGTGCTGCTGACTTGAAAAATGCATTCCTCTTATGTTCCCATTTACCTCCCAAGGATTTGCTTGGAAATGTTCCTCTTTCATTTGTGTTTTCAATCTACCTCTGTGTCCTTTCCCTGGGTGGCTTTTGTACCTATGGAACAAATCCCTTAGCTGATATGAAACATACCTTGATTACTTTATTCTCACCTGCCATCTTTGCTTTTATTTCCTTTGATGCTATATTTAATTTAGAATAAATCTTTGAGTTGTAGTTGCTCTTTGTATACAGAGGAAAATGATGAAACCCATCATAATGAATACCCAGTGTGTTGCTTTGCTAATGATACAGCTCACTAATCTGCTCAAATCTTGTGTTGATGGGAAAATATATTGGAAGAAGAAGAAATGAAAGTGAAATAAATGTTACATGTGTAAAAGTTTCATGTATGGTAAGGGAAACATAGTAGTAATACTGCTTAATTAGAAGCTCTATTAGGAGAATTTAATTGCTGAAAGAAAGTGTTTCTGGTAAAACACACTGCAGTGTTAAGGGAAATCCAAACAAATGTGTGCACACGTGTTACTCCTTAAATGCTTTC